GAGGTGGCAATCGCGTCCCAGTATGTGTCCACATCTGATGGTAGAGCATTTGGAAGAGACTTTAAAAGATAATTTTGGAAAATCCGTCTAACATCCGGACCTGCTAGTCTCTCACTTGTCAAGTGATATGTCTACACCTTACGCGGCCCTGGAGAACGTGGGGAGAAGCGACTCCGGACAAGGGCGTGGTCAGAGTCCACAAATTAGTTCCAGAATGTCTGGCAGTCAGTTATTGATCCGCGCCATCTGTAACTGATGGCAATGTGGCCGATTTGAGTTTGTGGACGGCCATGTCCTCTGTGTTCTGTAACCGCGCGCAGGGAGAATCACGTGGGCCCCTGCCAGGAAGGAAGACTCCACAGTGCTCAACTTCACACTTCAGGATACCCAAAGATTTCAACAGGATTCCGCTTCTCAACTTATGAGACGGTCCTGTTGGTTGCGTTAGGAGTGCTTTTTAGTGTCAAGGAAAACCAAAAAGTGCAACCTTTTGGTATGCCTGGCGCAACCCACGCAGTTACCATTCCATGAACGTGTAAAGAACAGAGTTTTACTAGGAACCTTCAAAGGTGTAAGCAACAAAAATCCCATTACGGCGCTATTCACTAACTAACCGAACCGCTAAATAATTGGAATGTGCGGAAGCCTTCGACTGAGCTAAGATGCCCCCTAAGTGGTCCGAATTGCATTTGAACTTATGCCAACCGCATTCGATTTGGGTTTTGTCGCTTTTGATGCCTACTAGTAGTGCATATTCCTAGCTGTACCGGCTTTGGTAATCGGATATTCGGGGTAAGTGCGGCTGCTGTCGCTTCCGTTAGAGTTGTTGAACGTTTTTCAGTTAGACGAACTAAAGTGGCTCTTATAACCAAAGTTGCTTGCTTGATGGTTTTCTTTTCGTACTTTGTACTTACTAAGGCACTTTCCCTCTGTTCCATTCAGCTTAAAACTCTCGACGTTTCACTTTGGATTGACGAATTTAACTGTAGAGGGCTTGAGTCCGAATCTGATCGAACTGAAAACCCGCGTCAAATTAAAACGTCATTGTATAAACGCACTAAGGCCGTAAAGCTGGGGATACTGGTGACATGGTCGCCCCTAGCAATCCAACCAGCTAATACCCCGCACAAATATCTTTGGAGTCACTTGTCAGGGTTAACAGTGACGTGACATTGAGTCATTCGGTTAAACACCGAATGTCACAAGACGTGAATTACTTCCGGCTCTGGCTTCTCGTTGATTCCCTGCATTTTTAAAGGTTGAGTCGCGGCTTCGAGCAAACAACATTGTCATCCACATTTCCGCAACGAGCCATAGACAGCGTTCGTCTTATGTAAACCTGAGAGAAATAAACGCACAAGGTCTAATAGATCATTTCGAGCTGTTTTGAGGATTATGGGTTGTAATCGACTGCACCTGAATTTACAACGCCTCCCGACCGATCGGTGCCCAAAAAGTTGCGTTTTCCTAATAGCCGAAACAAACAGACCGGTGCGCAAACTAATGGTATCTTGACTGTTATCTTTGAGTGGACAAATGCTTGAAAGTTTATCAACTTGATTGGGCCGCGCATGCTTTACTGATGACCGTTTTTATCCTGATGATCGCTGGAAAGCATGCAGTGTACAATACTGTTATCGCAATTTTGTTTTTTTATACGCGCGGGGACTTTGTAGAGTGCACCAATGTTCATCAGCAGCTGTTTTTTAGAGTTGGGTTACGTGTGCGTCCCTAGGCAGCACGTGTCTGTGCATTTTCACCGCCGACCACTCCTATTTGGATTGTAGTGCAATCTGCAAGCGATAACAGCGAAACATCTGTACTTTGGCTGTTCCGATGCCAAACTAATGGTATCTTGACTGTTATCTTTGAGTGGACAAATGCTTGAAAGTTTATCAACTTGATTGGGCCGCGCATGCTTTACTGATGACCGTTTTTATCCTGATGATCGCTGGAAAGCATGCAGTGTACAATACTGTTATCGCAATTTTGTTTTTTTATACGCGCGGGGACTTTGTAGAGTGCACCAATGTTCATCAGCAGCTGTTTTTTAGAGTTGGGTTACGTGTGCGTCCCTAGGCAGCACGTGTCTGTGCATTTTCACCGCCGACCACTCCTATTTGGATTGTAGTGCAATCTGAAAGCGATAACAGCGAAACATCTGTACTTTGGCTGCCGGTTCCGATGCCGGTTCATTTGTTTCAGCAATCCAGGGAACAGGTTGACTAGGTTCACATAGTGAGCTGCTCTTATTAAATAATCACTCTTCATCGTCACCAGCATTGGAAGTAACAGCGGCGAACTCTGATGCTTCTGCTGCACAACTATCCCGATTTATTTGAATAAAGTCCTTCAAGTTATTGAAAAAAACAGAATCGAGAGAGGGTGCTAATCTGCCGCAAAACCTGAAGTGCCCTTGTCCTCAACACTCAGTCACACTAGTATGAGGTGCCTCATATCCGTTGGCTGCGATGCACTGTTCACTCAAGCACAGGGTTGCATGGTCCCCGTTTTGGAAGGTCAGCACCATTCATCTCATTCCGCACAATCATACTTTGTCCACCTGGTTTTGGCAACTCTAAATTAGGCATGTGCTTTTCAGTATGGGGTAACCTGGCTTTAGCAGCACATAACCGAGCCATCTTAGCTTGCGGTATTTTTGGCTCCACTCGATCCCAACTATATTTCCAAGATGTCGGTGATCAAACCCCGAAAATATCTCGACTTTTCCGTCTCCAGAAGCCACGTCCAGCATTCTCTACTTCAGTCTGATGCACGGATCTTTTGAGACCCAAAGGCATATCACAAGCGATACAAATTGACAAATTCAGTTCCGGCCTGAGTTGTATGCGACCTGCGGGATTAGTGTGACATGTTCCGTACTATGTCCCTCAGCATGGCACTATAATTTGTGCTTAGCACATGCCGAAGAACTGAGTTAACTTGATCGGCCATTCAGTGAAATTTGTGCTTCGAATGCGAATAACGTTCTCTACATGCTCAAAGTCGACAAGGTTCTTGCTCACAGAGATTTCAACACCAGAGACCATCCAGAGTTGGCATATTCATTTCGAATAGATTCCGTTGGCTGTGGAACACTAATTAGGTGGAGAACAGCACCCGCACAGTAGTAGAAAACACCGTTCTTAACTCGGTCATTTGCGACGTACGCGGATGCTTGGGAAAAGTAAAACAAGGGAAGACGACATGCTTTTCAAATAAACACAAGCAGTTTGTCGGTATAGGACATTACAAAGCAGCTACGGGTCAATGAATCTCAGACCTATAAATAATGTATTGGTTGTTGATCAGGTGGCTGTTGATCTGTTCGCCGAGCTTGGCAATCGTCACCATACGAGGAGACATCATCAGTGCGCAGTTGGGTGTGCTCGCCAGGTAGCAACTCAAGATAAATGGTGCCCAGTAGGATACAAAATCTTTTGCCGTGGGTACGAGTGGTTATGGAAACCTCACTTGAAAGTGTTTTCTTCACTATTATGCCAGACGCACTGCGATTTATAGCACACTGATTCAAGAGAAAACGGCGGAGTTAGAACGTCGTTAGTGGCTGACCAGCCCAAACAAAAGCCCATGATCACATATGAGGACAGCTTTGATGTGGCAGGAGAACGAATTATCTTCAGACCTGATGCGCTACTGGAACCAACGACTGTAAATCGTCTACCGATAGTGAGTGTGACGGTGACAAAATTAACTTGGTTCTCGATAGACAGTACATTCAAGTCGCGTTGAGGGGCGTGAAATTCTTGACAGTGAGGTTTAAGGTACATAGTTTGGTACGACATTGGTCTGTCACCGAACTAAGTGCAAATCCGTTATAGGCTGGAATTCAACCTTTCAAAAGTCCTTAAAAAGCAAAACGTTTGCCTGATTACCTGAAAAGCCGGCAAAACTAGTTTTCACATTTTCGCGCTGTGCCATGCGACGCTGGCTTGGGATGAGAACCTGTTGATGGCTTTCGGGTATTTTGGGTACCTCTGAACTATTCGAACAAGGGAAGTTTTCTTTCCTTCTGAGCGTTCCTTTCTGATGGAACTTATTGTGGTCCAGTTTGTGAAACCATTCCCTTGTAGAGAAGAAAGTAGGTTTCGATAAACGAACGGTTTTGGGAGTCTAGGGTGAAATTTTAGTGCTCTTATTCGTGTTTTCTTTTTTTATTTGCGCTTGTTGCCGAACAGCTTTCATGCAAATGTGTAGTTGGGGTTCACACAAGTGTGTGTTTGTAGTCCTCAGGTAAAAGGAGGAAGTACTGTAGATATATGACCACGTTAGGTTTTTGTTTATCACTGACCGTGCATTACAAATCGGTTTCTAGCAGATCTAGTGGTTCATGACCCTGTGTACCAGAGTGCTGCATCTTGGACGCTCTAGTTCTTCCCCCCTGTAATAATGCCAGTGTGTGTGTTTCAGGTTTCAATACACCTGATCCATATTTTCTGGTGCAGATTGGGTTGGTTCGATCTCATGTAAGGTTCTCAAACAAGCGCTAGACCCAGAATTGTCCAGTTTCCGTTTTGCGATATGATTTCAGCTCTTATAATCTTCCATTCCGGTCTTTGATTGCTAAGAGGCTGTTGACGCCGATCGTTAGTTGAAATAAGTGTCCCGTGTTCGTTGTGAACTCACATGGCATGAACTTTGGGTATTTAGGAGTTTGGGTGAACAATATATCATTGCCACTCTCTGGGACATGTTATATTCTCCGTCGAGTCGGTTGGGTGTATTCAATTCTTCTCTTTATGATCCAGGTGGAGGTTACTTCAGCAGACTCGCGGGTGAGTTTCTTGGAAAAATATTCAGAGGTACTATGTCCGGAGACTCATCTGTGTAGCACGAGCTAGGGGTTTTCGAAATATCGACTTTCACTCTCTACATTTAATTCCGTCCTCAAAGTTATTTGATATTTTTTTTGAAATAATGTTTGTGATACATCACTCTGTCTTGATTTCCCTGCCATTTTGCTTCCCAAACATTTACAGTCGCATTATCCTACCGATGACTGTGGAAGAGTATAATGTCGCCCAGCTGTGGTCCGTGGCAGAAGTATCGAAAAATGAAACTGGCGGTGGTGAAGGCATCGAAGTATTGGTAAACGAGCCGTTTGACGACGAACATCACAAGCCTGATCCACCACTGGCAGTTCACGGTCAAGTGTTTGACAAGGGTCAATATACTCACAAGCGATTCTACCTGGCTAATAAAGTCCCTGCCTACGTACGAATTCTCGCTCCCAAACGATACTTGGAAGTGGACGAACGCGCCTGGAATGCCTATCCCTATTGCCGAACAATCATCGAAGTAGGCTTGTTCATTACTTACTGTGGTCCCTTGCTCATAACAGAACCCAGCATATATGCAAGAGAATTTCTTCCTCAAGATTGAATCCATGTATGTGCAGGACAAGGTTGATGAACCCAACGTAGGTCTTCCAATCAACGACTCACACACCTTTGTCACAGATTCACCAACTCCCACCTGAAATGTTGGAACGACGCGAAGTCGTCTACATTGACTTTGTGAATGATCCTCCCTATAGCCATTCCGATTATGATCCCAACTGTGATCCCACCAAATTTCAGTCCGTTAAAACTGGTCGTGGTCCGTTGATTGGTCCAAACTGGTGGAAGGTACGTTTTCGAATTTGACCGACTTTTGCACGTTTAGAACACGGACATGCCAATCATGTGTGCCTACAAGCTGGTCACATGTGAATTCAAATGGTGGGGCATACAGACCCGTGTGGAGACAATGTTACAAAATGTGAGTTGTCTGGTCTGGCGTCTCCTAATTTGTACATTTACTATTCCAGCAAGAGCGACGTATTTTCTACAACTTTCACCGTCAGTTGTTTTGTTGGATGGATAAGTGGCATGGACTGACGATGAACGACATTCGAGCATTAGAAGACCAGGCAAAACATGAATTAGACAAGGTGAGTGGGTCTTTTCTTCCCATCTATGGCTTGTACTGTACTACTTTGGTAAACTTGCACCGGACGAATGGCACGAGACAGTGTGTATGCGGATTACGGCTTTTTGTTCCGCTAAAGATCGCAATTGGTAGAAGATCCAAGCCGACTGTAATTCACGTAATCACTTCCAATTCTCAGACTGTCATAGCAGCAGCTCACCCAGATATACGAACAAAAACTGGGAAGAAACCCACGAGCGATGTTCGCTTTAAGTGAATCCGAGGAACCAGATCCTAGATACTGCCAGAATTTGTTATTTCTCCCCCTAGTCTATCGGCCTTAACAGTCTTTTACGCTCACTGAAACAATTTCTTAGGTGACAACTAATGCTGATATAGCCTGCCAATAGAAGATCTTACTGATTGGTTTTCATTCTGCCTAGACCAAACTTGTAACCTACTCACTTCGTTTAACTAAGTCTTTGTCTCCAAAGCGAAATGCTGCCATGCAGCAAATGTACCGATCGCTCTCCAAACTATTCCGAAGCCCATAATGTATTTTTCGCCCTAATCTATGACGTAACATCCTCTTGGTCGACAATTACTGTTACAAAGATAATACCACTTTTCATTGTCTGTACAACGATAATCTAATTACCATATCTGATAATTGTCAGGAAAGTGGGAAACCACACCCACGTGTCGACTTCCCTAGGCGGTTTGACCAACTTGCTTGTTAAATATGTGTGCTTTTCCAGCACTGCGATCATACTGGAACTTGGCCACAGTATTGCTGCTTGTCTCCTGTAAAATGATTATCTGTGTAGTCCAGTCCCGTTTTTATCGTTACTTGGAGTGAACACGGTCGATTTCACCAGGGCCTGATGCAGAAAATCTACCGGTAGACTACTGATTTCAAAAAGTAATCAATCACACTCAGTAGCTTCATACCGTGGTGTTTATGACTTTAGTCGGAGAGTGGCAGCTTCTGCGTGTGCATCGATTATTCATTGATCCATGTACTGTCCCGATTATTAGGATCTTTTGAGCGAAATCCGCTCGCTTAGCAGAATTTCATGTGTATGTTTTGTTATTTTTCCGTTTGATGCACGGAAATTCTTTTGTGGACAAACGTACTTGTCAAAATGAGGTCCTTCCCACGAAGCAGCTGGACCTATCCTGTACGTTTTCACAAAATAGTTGGGATCCGAAAAATGTGTAACGAAATGACACGCTTTAAGCACTGTGCGGTAACAACCACCCGAGAAAGACCATGATTGGGAAGTGCCCATGTATTTTCGAGGTGACTGCTTGGTCCTACACCATAACGGTGCAATAGCGGTGCTCGTACGGAGGGATTTTTCAGAATATATAAGTCCACTTTGTCCCCTGGAACTCTTTTTTCATCTCGAGCGCTACTCAGGGTACTGCTTTTGGTCGGTCAGGAAGAGCTATTGTTTTCACACAATTTAAATGATAACAGGGCCTTTACACTGCGCACTTCAGACTGTCAGTGGCTAGTCGTTATCTCCGTGTGATATTCCTGATGGATCATATAGCAGTTGTGGTCATTCTTTCTCTCTAGGATTACATCGGCCAGCACAGTGCTTCCCAGAACGTTGCCACAGTGTTAGGATCGATTAATCAAGATACCAGTGGCTTCTGTCCTAGCGGACTACCCCTTAGTTCCTTCCTCATCCAATATTATTCTTTTCTTCACAATAAAGTTTCCAAATAAGTTTTAATTTCACGGCAGCAATGCATCAGTTCTTGAACCCTGGTGTTATGCTGATGTGGGAGTGAGAGGCTGGAGTTGGTTTGCTGCTCATATTTGAACAAAAATTCTTCCATAGCGCGGGTATCGGCGTGGTGACTGCGGTGAATCGAAGCACACATAAGATAGTAAAAGACAAACACAGAGATATACTTTCAATTCCAGGAGATTTACACGCTCTCTGACGTGAGCCTATGACACCCGGCGTTGGTAGCTGAAATTCCCCTCACACGGTATTTACGAGTGGTCGGTGTCCTGCTGTCTGAGCAGAGGTAATGTAACCACACTGCTAGTAGGTGTGCGGTGGTCCATCCATATAATTATCGTCGTCACCTGCCAGGCATTAGGAAGATGGTTTGTTTTAGGTTTGGACTGGGTCTGGTGATTCCACTTTAGAAACATTCTGCCGTTGTGATGTGATTGGTTGAATGCTCACCTTGACAGAAAGCGGCTGACCATGGCGTAGGAAGTCACACTGACTCCGCTAAGTCTGGTCTTCACTCCTACCCATGGACGGCTCACATTTTAATTACCACTCAAATCGATGGAAATGTTCTGGTCATACCAACAATCAAGCCAGTGTCTTCCATGAAGGGATCTGCCTGAAGTACAGTTTGTGATTGGTGGTCAGGATTACAATGAAACGACTTGGTAACATCACCAATTATTCGGAACATAAGCGAGGTACTGAAGTTATTGGTTAAGTTCCCAAAGAAAGTTTGTTTATTCCGAAGCCTAGTAATTTCCAACCGCTTATGGAAGTGAACAGCGAATCGTTCAACTTGAAGCATGGTACATATAACTGGTCTGAATTCGCGACAAAAATATATTTGAACAGGAGATAATTAAGTGATCTTGCCGTCCCCTAGCTGGAACAAAACAGTATTTGCTTACCTTTGTAATGTACTACTCATAAGGTTGCTGAAAATCCGTTTCACAGCCCACGACCGGTTTCGCCCTTTTTGGGGTTCATCAGGTAGGCGCAGTCCCCGGGTTTCCGTCAACCTTACGTTCTACTTGAAACGGATCTTCAGCAACCTTATGAGTAGTACATTACAAAGATATACATGTATCGCGATATTTCAAATATGGTAGCGACTGAGACATGGGGCGGCCTGGTGCAGCACATTCCGTTGCCTGAGAACATCATAAACGAAAGATTCAGCTGGGTTCCAGGTGGGTCTCTGGAAAAAACCAAATTAGTTTGCAAATGAGTGTATATTCGCTAATATTTGCTTATCTTGTGTTCTTGGTGACATTACGGGAACGACTACCTATAATTTTGTTTGATGACTCCACACTGCCAACCCAATACATCATATACATATTTCGTTTGCATTCTTTTGTTCCGTACAGCAACGAGAAGTCGGTGAAGTGCGAGGGACCATTGTAACCGACTAGTCCTGTTGCATCGGAATTGCCAGAATTACTTATACGTTTCTTTAGTTTGTGGCCACTCCAAGCCTGCCAACCCCGGTGAGTTCCTTGTTTACTGTAATCGAACCTCTCCATCCATGCTGCAACGGATTTTCCGATTGCTGTATGGTAGCAAAGCATCATTGTAGAACAGTGATGTCATGCTGTCGATGATGATGATGCTATGGGTGCCCTCCAGGAGCTAACGACCTGAGACTCATTGGTTCTAACTGCCCATGAAGAATCTTAAAACTAAAGCTTTGGTTGTTCATTGATTCCAAGAGGCCTTCAACCATTGGCCAACGATTTTATATTCCTCACAAATCACTGACTGAAAGTCTGTCAATGAGATAAAATAGCCATAGAGACAGAGTNGCCGACGCACAATTCATTCGTTACTTTAGAAAAAGTCTTACGTCTGTCCATCCCCAACTATATCGGAGGATACCACTTCTGCCCCGCGCGCATACAAATTCGTACAGAACTAATGTAGGTTTGTGATCAAGGTTCCGTGAAGTCCGCGCACTGTTTCACATAAGCTCGAGTTTTTTCTGTTTAGTGGATCGGTTCATATAGAATAAACGATGATTGCCCTTGTGACCCATCTCAGTATGCCACCATAATTACGCCTTTTGTTGAACTCTTGGACAACTGGTTGCTTTTCTTTCTGCATCTTGAATGGAATCAGCGGGAATAGAACGTCGTACATCCACCATCTGGAGGCCTTCAGTCGATTTGCGTGCTGCCATCCAACGACTTGTGTATGCGCAAACTATTTCCGACACGTCCGCATGTTGAATAGACTACTGATGTCGCCCTCAATCATTAGGAGTCTGTCAAAATCTGATGAAACATCTCCAGGTTGGGTGGTTCTCTCAGTTCAGTCACATCAAAGTGCTTCGGGCGGTTAATTTTCCTTCCACAGAAGCGTATCACCAGTCTGAGGCATACCATAACATGGTCTGATTCCAAGCAGGTGTCCCATCAGAAACGACGATTTTGAACGCAGCCTGTTCACCAGTAACTGACGGCTCTACAACCAACTTGACTCACTGTTGAGTAACCGATGATGGGCGGTAAATAGCTTGGTAGTGGTTATGATATCTGAAACTAACACCATTTCATTCATTCATCATCATTAACCAACTTGACTGTTGAGTAACCGATGATGGGCGGTAAATAGCTTGGTAGTGGTTATGATATCTGAAACTAACACCATTTCATTCATTCATTCACATCATTGTCAGCTGTAATAACCGCGTACTCGTCGTACAGTGGTTGTAGCTGCCGCAGTTTCGTTCACCTATGTTTTTTGGGGGGGGGGATAGGTACAGTGGGTTGTCAAGTGGGGGTAGGGGGTGGAAAAGGAGCTATGCATTGAAGGCAATAGCTTGGATGCACGAGCGCCATTGAGGGCGCGACTGGGCCATGTCTGATAATGTCTCTAGCCATTGATGTGGCCCGTCTCGGGGTCCCCATCCAGAAAGACGGCAGTGACCAGCGCAGCTGAGTTTACTGGTAATTGCTTTCATGCTTCCCTGCCAAGTCATTGTTTGCCCGCCTCTGGCTCTCTTCCACCCTTCACATGGTTGTGCGAAAAGGGCCCTTCGAG